GGATTGTGGGACTATTGTTTTGAATGGGGAATTTATCCATGGCTTTTACTTTTGGGAATTTGGAGGGCAATAAAGTTCCTTTCTCTCTGGTATATGTAATTTGCATATGCGGGCGGTGACACACACTAGAGACAGTAGATGAATGCTGTCTCATAGGATCCTTTACAGGGATTCTTTCCGTGCAATGAGGATTGAACAGGTTCCTCCCTGGATGTTATTTGATATAACAAAGCAAATATGTAATGCATGTTTGTGAGTACCTGTTTTATCTTTGTAATAAAAGTTGTATAAAGGTGTGTCACAGAGCTTGTTTTTCTATAATGTGTTATAAAAATTCCTAGTCTGGAGAAAGCAGCAAAGCCGTAGTTATGTTGTGCTGTGTATTAGGAAGCAATAAGGGTGGATTCACACTAGCAAGCTGGGCTAAATGCAGATATGAAAAAACAGGGCAGGGGCACCGGCATTGATACTTGACACTGTACAAAGTGGTTTATAGGAATTTTACTGGAGGTCTGCTATTGTCCATGATATGAGGAATTGTACAATTCTTTCAAAACTCCGGATAAAAATAAAAAAGATAAAAATCTGCAACCTTGTAATCATTTATATAACCAGGCTGCATTTGGTGTAAAAGATAAACAGTGGGATGCGCTGAAATTGGTGCATCAACACTGTGGAAGCTAATGCACACCAGAGCCCGAGTGCTGTAGCACAGCTGCTGGTGTGAATGCACCCTAACGCAGCCCTAACCTGTTAAATGAAAAAAATACTCAGATAGGTGCTCTATACAAATGGCCACTCTACCCCCTCAAATTCTCTGGAGTCCCTGCAGCTACTACCTCACTGCAACTGCCATCGGTTAGCCATTGCAAGGGGCTGTATCTGTGCGAGGCAAAGGCTCCTTCTGGCTGCCTGCACCTGAGAAGCCAAGCAGAGCCGCTTGCTTGCACAGAACCCAACGTTGGCCATGCCTAACAGACAAAAGTGGAAGAGAGGCAGTGTCCTCATAGACTGCTATCCATGCCTGCTACGTATACCTCCAATGTGGCAGATACGTGAATAAGTCCATATGCAAGGCCTTATTCAAGTATAATAGAAGGAGATACAAAGAGATACCGAGCAGTCTTGTTATATATGGGTGTTCTGTCACTAAGAACAGGTAGGAGAATCTTCAAGCGCTCACCAGCCCTGTAGAATTAATAGAATAGAAGGATGTAAGCGAAAACGATACCGCATTGTAATAAGTTAAACATGTAAATCTGTACTGTTATAGGTAGTAGTGTTCTGCAAGCAATCTGTGTATATTACAACTCAGCTCTCCCCCCCCCCCCCCCCCCCCCTCATTCATAATTCTGCAGTCTTTGGAACATACCAAACCAGTAAGCTGCACACACAGCTAGCTTTTGCTTAGATTTGATCTGGTAGATGAGTGAAAACGTAGAGCCAATCTGACTGAATAATATTTATTCTCCCACTGCGGACATCCGATCCTGGAACCGGTCCAGGTCCCGTCTGAGTAGACCCACATCAAACTGGAGATGGTCGATCTTGGTAGTGAGCGTAGATTGGCATCCAGAAATTGTGGCCATCACGGCCGTGAACTGGGCCGGACCGGAAAAAGCCTCCGCCGAGTCCTCCGTCTGGGCCGCCATGCTACCACAAGGCTGTTTCCGCCCCGCGGGCCGGCAAGGGTGATGGGACACTAGGACGACCGGAAGAGGACTTTCGGCTACCTCGAGACATATACCCCCGGATCCGGGAAGCAGGAGACCGGTTTTCCAGCGCCCATGTGAGCGTTCCACAGGGCTAAAATTCACAGGATAGTAGTTAGGGTGGCGGAGCACAGTTCTCACATGTGCGCTCCGGTTACCATCTTGGACACGGCCCCGATAATATTTATTCTCAATTAACCTTAAAGGATAATTAAAGCCTCGGGTGTTTTTGCATACATCTACGGCTAGCAAGCAGTAGATATATGCAAAAAGTGTAAAAAAAAAAAGATTTGAAAAGGCTTAATACTTACCCGTGTCTTCCCCGCGCGCTCCCGTCTGAAAATGTGAATAATCTCGGGCGGCCGCAAAGCATCTTGGGTGGGCGCATGCGCAGTTCACATTTTCGGCCTGGGACGCGAGGAGAGACACAAGGTAAGGCTATGGACGCGTACACCCGCATGCAGACACCTTAGGACAGGAAGTACCAGCAAGCCCAGAGGAGTAAGCGCTGGATCGGAGACCCGCAGCAGCGCCGGAGGGACAGATGAAAAGGACAGGAAAGAAGAAGATCGGATTAAGAGACATCATTTAAGGTAAGTGCGGACATTAACATTGGGGGAGGGAAAAATATTTTTGACTTTAAAGGAGAACTGTGGGGTTAGGGCTTTTCCCCATAGTTCTCCTTAGGGTAACGGGAGGACACAGACTAGCGTCGTCCCGTTACCCTAAGCTCAGTATACCGCGAGCTACAGCTCGCGGTATACTGAGACGCCGCAGCCGGAGCGGATCCCGACATGGACATCGAGATCCGCCCAGCTGCGTGAGTGACAGTACCCGCCCCCTCCCCCGTCCGTTCCGCCAGTCAGCGCTGGCAGATCGGAGCGGGGAGAGGGGAATCCAGCCCCTGTCATGGCAGAGAGCTGTGACAGGATCGAGAGGTGAGCGAACCCGGTATGTGTTCGCTCACCTCCCGATTTACTGAGCCTACCTGTGACAGTCTCATTGTCACAGGTCAGCTAGAACTATGAGGTGAGTGAAAATCACTCACCTCATAGTTCTCCTTTAATGTCACTTTAATGACACATGATCACCTCTCCTCCTTCTTCATGGACCTACTTCTATTTGTATGTAAACATTTCTCTTTTTTGCCTATTTTGTTTGTTTTCGTAATACCACATTAAAAGAATACACATTTTAAACATCCTCCCATTCAGGTGTAAGTAACATCACCATACTTTGTACTAGGGTTGCCACCTTTTTTTTCCATCGAACCCCGAACACTCTAGCGACGCATGGACATTTTGGGGGGAAAATTAGTCATGGCTTAATAATATGTAAATATCACAGTTGAGACTATTTTCAGTGGGGGGCCAGTAGCCCCTATCTTTGTTTTGGTTGCCCCTGTCTGCCTCACATCTTGTGTCCGGTTTCAGCTGCCATGAAACCCAGACACACCATTTAAAACCCGGACTGTCCGGGTGAATCCCAGACAGGTGGCAACCCTACTTTGTACCAGAAGCAATGAATGACAAGGGGCAGGTGTGCTGGGATGACCTAAAGTCATATTAAAGTCCAAAGGGTTTTAAGCTGTTCTAGAAGCTGATTAGATTACTCACACTTGCTTGATGTTTAAAAGTTTTAGTTTCTGCAGAATCAGCTGGTCCCCTGAGCACTGGTCCTGATATCCTGTTTTATAGTGACTCTTTTCCCTCGCAGGGTGCGGTGGAGCCACTCCTGTGTGTGCTAGTAAGTTGTGTGTGTCTCCATAAACACAGCAAGGAACTTCCTTCCCCCTTGCCCCCCCTTTTCCCTCCTCTTTCTCCCCCTCACTCCTTCTCCAAGCTAGTAGATGAACAGTTGCTGGAGTCTGCACTGTCCCTTGTGATCTTGTACTGGACAGGAAATGCAGAGAAGCCGAGCTGAGAGAGTTGGAGTTGTTCAGAAACATGAAGATTGTAAGTGTTTGGGCAAAGATGTAAAGCAATACTTTGCTGGACAATGTGTATTTGTTTTATCTGGATTCCTTATTGAAATAACGTTTCAGAGTATAATACTACTTTAACACAATGCATCCTGTGCAGATCTCTGATCTCCAGGCCTTGCAGAGGGACACCTTCCAGCATTGATTTCCTTTGCAGCTTTCATATAATATCTCAGAGCCGCAAAGAAAGTCAATGCTGACAGCTTTGCCGTGGTCATGTGCTGTGATCGCAGGTCTGAATAGGGAGCAGATAACTTTATTAGGTTACGCTCGCGTATATGAGCCTTAGGCTGGGTTCACACCTAGGAGTATCGAATATGCGCGTTTCTACCGCGTTTCCGAGGGCTACTTGGCTGTATCCCAATGGAAACGCGTGACAAAAACGCCCCAAAGAAGCTCCTGTACTTCTTTGGGCGTAGGGCATTTGTAGCACGTTCATACGCCCAGGTGTGAACCATACCCATAGGAAATAATGGGATTTCGGCATTTGAGCGTTTTGCAGCGCATTTGACCGTGCTACAAAACGCCCAGGTGTGAACCAGGCCTTAGGGCTTTGTTCACACCAGGAAGTGTTGTGAATGTGCTTCACACGTGCAACACGTTTGTATTGCTATTACTAGGTAATAGCACCCCAAATGCAGCTGAGCAAACACGTTTTTTCCCTGCATGTTTGCTGGTGTGAGAATACACACAAACGTGTGGTAACAAAATGCAGAACGCGTTGCCATATTTGCAACATATAAGTTTCTAAGTTTGGCGTGCATACAGGGACTAAGTGGGGATCAATGGGGACATGCACCAAAGCACGTTCCTGCTATGCCCTGGTGTGACGAGGGCCTAATGGTCAGCATCTGACACTGACTGCGGGTTAACCCCGATCAAGCTTTGAATTATCTCTAATAAGGGCAACAAGTCCAACATATACTGAACCCCGGGGAGGGACCAAGTAATCCCCCGCCCCCCCTCACTGACTCCAATACAGAAAGCCAGTGAAAGGTGACCTGTTGTTGTGTCTCTGGAGAGTCAGGACACTTCCTGTCAGTGTATGTAGTAATAAATTGGATTCATGTAATGGATGGTTCGGTACACGGCTGTATTCAGCGCTTATCAGTGCGAGCCCTCGGCTCGTTACACAGCTCCGCCCTTCTTGTAGAGCTGAGCCCGCCCTCTGTACAGGACTCTTCGCGAACCGGGAGAGGGGACGTCCCTGACGTTTCATTCCTCCCACCAATCAGAAAACTCGGATGTGTCTCGCCTACAACATGCGGAGGACATCAGGAAGTTGTCAGTTACCATAGCAACAAGTGGCTCTGCTCTTACCGGTAACATGCCGATTATAGTGAAGGATTTCACCTGGCAGCAAACGCAAAAGGAACTTTTCATATCAGTGCCACTAAAGGGAGCCAAGGCGTGCCAGAGTAATGTGCTGTGTACCGAGGATTACATCAAGGTGAGAGGACAGCTCTGTATACAGCACACACTGTGCTCATCATCCTCTGAAAATGCTTCATACCTGGCTGCCATGCTGAGTGATATTTTCTCACCATCAGGGTGTAACATGATAGATGGTCACCTCCCCTTCCCCCTCGTGCCCTTCCACTTACCTAAGGCCCCATTCACACTGAGCGACATGAAAAGCGCGCGATTTTGAGCTATATTGCGCGACGAGCGATATTGAGCGACTTGTTCCTATTGGGCTGTATGCAATCAGGAGCAATATCGCTCGAAATCGCTCGAAAAAAGGGTCATGTAGAAGCGACAAGCTACCAGCGACGAGCTACAAGCGATATTGAGCGACGAGATGTGAACAGCTCCATTGAATTGGATTGGAGAAGCTACATAGAGCGATATCGCATGGAAATATGAGCGATATCACTGCAAAAATCGCTCGATAAATCGCTCAGTGTGAATGGGGCCTTAATCTCTGGGTTCTTCTCTCTGCAGGCTTGTTTACAGGTTCCGCCAACACAACTGCGTCATCCATTCGCAGATCCTTTTAACAGGATCTGCAAATGGAGAAACTACAAGTCCCATCAACCAGCATGACAGAGGGACTTGCAGTTCTCACGAGCAGGGCCCTCCTTAACATCTTGTCTTGAATTGTATTGTGATTGTAATGTCTTCCTTACATTGTAAAGCGCTGCGCAAACTGTTGGTGCTGTATAAAACCTGTATAATAATAATACCAGTGCGGTGTAGTCCATTGACACTTCCTCCCATCCATGTTACCGAATGTCTGTATGAACATGTACGGGATGAAGTGTCTGCAGCCTGTAATCTGATTGGGGTTGCAATGCTTTCCTAGGTCCAAAGCAAAAATCAATCAATAAATAGATGCACATTTTTCTTTTTGTGTGTTTGTTTGTTTGTTTGTTTGTTTATTTATTTTTAAGTGGAGTTTCCCTTTAAGCCTGCCTATAGGTATTTTAAAAAATGTTTACTTACCTTTGACTTTAACCTCTTGCCGTCCGCCCGTAGTAAAAAAACGGACGGACGGCACTGCTACATATTTTGAACTGTTTGTCTGGATTTTGGCTTTTGAAATCTTGATTTTACTAAATACGAGCCTATTATTATTATTATTATTATTGTTATTATTACATAGTATTTATATAGCGCCAACAGTTTGCGCAGCGCTTTACAATATAAGGAAGACATTACAATACAATACAATTCAAGACAAGATGGTAATAACACCCCATTCACACTGAGCGGTTTATTTCTGCGCGCTATCGCTCTATGTAGCTCGTCCAATGCATTTCAATGGAGTTGTTCACAGCTCAATGTCGCCTGTAGCTCGTCCCTGACCCTTTTTTGCGCGGATGTCGCGCGATTTGGCTCCAATAGCCTCTATGGTGACGCACAAAAATCGCGCATTACCAGCGACATGGCGCTACATTTGCACTGCAAAATGGAAGGAAAGAATGATGTCACATTAAGATCGCTGTTGATTGGTTAGAGCCCAATGTAACAGCGACGAAGTCCCACCCAAAAAATGCGATACAATGTGTAATGCCGCTCAATAGTTCACAAGCCAATTAGCGCGATATATCGCGTGGACAAAATGTGCAATACGCATGTCGCTCAGTGTGAATGGGGTGTTAGTGGTGAAGGGACAGAACACAACCCCAAGATGTGGAAGGCTTTGCCCTGTTCCTTCACTGCTTGTAATATGAAAAGTCCGAATGACAACGACATAACCTGAAGCTGAATACTACCGACCTATAGGCCGTGGACTGTGTGGCTGTGGATTGGCCTTGTATGATGAGAAGGGAGGAATGTAGAGAGTGCTGGGTGCTCAGCTGCCCCTTTCCCTCATATTACAATACGTATAAACAATGTGTTTCTGTCTGATATACAGGTGAATTTCCCTCCATTCCTGTTTGAATTCTTTCCCCTGTCGCCTATTGATGTTGACAAAAGTAGTGCAAAGATTGGCAATGGAGTTATCCTCTTTACCCTACATAAGCAGGAGCCATCTATTTGGGACGCCCTGTCTGCTGATAATAGTAAGTACTTTCCAAAATGACTGGGGGGGGTCATTCATCTGTTTTTATTAACCTGGAGCAGTAAGAATGGATTTACTATGACATTGAAGCTTGATTAACCCCTTAATGACCAAGCCCCTTTTTCAGTTTTTTGCACCAATGACTTCAAACCCCATTATATATCTATCTATCTATCTAGATAGATATATAAATAACATTTTATTTTCATACCAGTATAAGCCAGTATGTGTTTAACGCTGGGTTCACCCCAGCCACATACTAAAACGCCCAGCGGACACCAACCACAGCAGTTTTTTAAACTTTATTTGCAGTTGTCAAAGTGTACAATACATTCAAAGGTGTGTGTGTGTGTGTGGTGTGCTGCGGTGGCCTCTGGAGCCATCCAGTGCTCTGTGGAAAAATGAACTGCACCGTGTTGTGGTGTGAACAGGGCTCATAGGTAACAAGTGTTTTCTGTATGTCCTTGCGGTGACCTGCATTAATCCAGTGTGGAAAAACGCCAGTCACAGCGACTCATGTGAATGAGCCCAATATGATTTAAATGCTATGTGCTCTAGGAGGTTGGAATGTCAGATATACAGTTTGTTACTCGAGACAGTTTATATGGGGATTTTAGGATTGGAACTGACTCCTCCATTTGGAGAGAGGACCAACATTAAAGGGACAGAAATTTCATATAAATATTACATGAAACATTGACTTTCTTTACTCTGAGTATCTGTGCAAGTCTTTGAGGGCGGCCGGTGCCGAAAAGGATTTCTGTAAACATTGGAAAAGGCCGCTGCTGAGCTATTGAGGTAAGTATGTAGCTGGTTGGGGGAGTTTGGTGTTGATTAGTTCAGGAGGGCTGGGGAAGGGCTAGTTAGCATTGGTTTTATTAAATTACCCCCCCAAAAAAAAAAAAATTAGATCTGCCCAAACCTCCTAAAATACATGTTTCGCTACAAATATGTTACATTTTTGTTTACTTTTCTTCTTTTATAGTGGAAAAGGAGGCAATGCAGAAAATCCGAGAGGAAGCTGTTGCTAGAGTGCAGGAGAAAGCTAAACAAGATGCAGAGGCCAAAGCTAGGAGGAAGCGAGAAAATGAGAAGTACTCTCTGGAGGTCATGATGAAAGTAGGTACCTGACTTGTTTGATATATTAAATAAGGAGACCATATCATGCCATGGGCATGCACAGTGGCTTAGTGGTTAGCAGAGGGCATGCACAGTGGCTTAGTGGTTAGCAGAGGGCATGCACAGTGGCTTAGTGGTTAGCAGAGGGCATGCACAGTGGCTTAGTGATTCTGCTTTGCAAAAGGACACTATCTGCATGTAGTTTGCAATGCATGTGCTCCCTGTGCTAGCGTCGTTGTCCTCCAGGTACTCTGATTTCCTCCCACACTCTAAAGACATGCTGGTAGGTTAATTGGCTCCTGTCTAATTAGGACCTAGTATGCTTGTGTGTTTATGAATGCATGTGAGATAGGTACCTTAGATTGTAAGCTCCTTGAGGGCAGAGACTGATGCAAACGAATAGTATGTAAAGAGCTCCATAAATTGATAGCACTACATAAATACCTGTTGTAAGGAAAATAATAAATGGTGCATCTGTATCTGTAGAGGTGCTTAATTTTGCTCTAATATGCATGGAGGAACTAACTAGGCCGATTACTTCTTCTAGGTAAGCTGGGCACTCGCGAATGGTAGGTGGTGAGTGTGTGTCTCAACAGACTTCTAACCACTGTTACAGATAACAATATATATGAAGTACAATGCAGGAGTCTAATTAGAGGCTCACTGGGATGCCTCCTGTTGTGTTGTATGGCCATCCGCTGCTCGTAACTGCTCTCCTGGGGCACAGCGGTAACTAGAACAGGAATGGAATGAACTCTCACCGACATGGACATAGCCAGCAATAAAAACGTGACAGTTCTTCTAAATCGTGTCCACTATATCCAAAACTAAATAAAGAAATAGCTTTGCTGGTATTACATCTGTCTCCGATCCACCAAGACCTCTGCCAGCGCAGCGTAGCCTCTTATCAGAATCGTCTTGTGCATGCAGGCTGCCGTCTCTTTTCAATCCTATGGAGAGTTTGTATTCTGCCGGAATACAGAAGAATTAAAGGAGAACTATGGGTGTGGCAGCAGATAATATGGCTAAATATATTTAAATAATTCATGTTTTTTGTATCTACATATAATGAGGCCTCTGACCCCCTCGCTCCTTCTTGCATTTCAACCACACATGCAAAAGAGAGCCTCAGTGTGTAAAAGGCCGTCTGACTTTTGTCCTAGAATGTAATTTTGCAACAAAAAATGCTGATGACAGTATCTTGTGACTTAGATGCCCCTCCCCCTTCTCGCAAGACTATTAGTAATCGATCATGAGTTTATGGCAAAAGGTTGTGACAGGATACATAAACCATAAATGGTAAAATTGTAAATGCTGCTTGCTGATTGGCTTAGAGCTGTAAAGGAAAATGTGTAATAGAAATGTGTAATGTGACGTAATTGTTGTTATATATATATGTAGTGAACACTTACAGAAAATGTATAATTTGGTGCCTTCTATTGATAACTATCAGGGCCAAACTCCAACAGTGAGTTAACGTTAAATGATTTGAACCTGTTTTTAGATTGATGAAGAAGAAAGAAAACAAATAGAAACTATTAAAGAAGAGGAAAGGCGGAAAGCGAGTGAAGAGCTGGAAACATTTAAGGCACAACAAAAAATAGAAGAAGAGCAGAGGAGAATCCAGAAGGAGCAACAGAGAAAAGCGGAAGAAAAGAGGAAAAATGCTATAAACAAACCCACACATTCCGATCATCTAAAACCCCAACTACGAGGTAAGCCAGTTATTATCTGTGACCTTGCATAATATGGTGTATAAAACCTTTGGCAGAAAGACATGGCATAACTATTCCTGTATTGTAGTTACAGATGTATGTTTACATTCATCATCACCCTTTTTTTTTACATGACTGGGTGACGTTGCCTAGGCAGATATCGGTACTTGTGCCAACCGATTAAAAAAACATGCTCAGCAATTTCCCAGTATGCACCATGGAGTCCCTACTGTCTGCCAGCACATTTAGTTTTGTGTGATTGCTCTTGCCATGGTATTGCATCAGGAGACTTTTCAATTACAGTGTCAGTCACATAAGGAAAGTTTATGTGGGTGAAACTGTATATTACATTTTTTACTCAGTGCCCTTTAACGGAAGTATTCACTGTAGAATTATCAACCTGAGTTAAGTGTAAAAAATTTAGCTAGATATAGTTAAAAAAAAAAAAAAAAGTTTTGCTTCACAATTCCGCTTGTGTCGCAGTCATGGGTATGTTCATGTTCATGTGTGTGCGTTTTGGCTTTTGTGCGCCCTCTAGTGGTGAAAGCAAGAACACTTTGATGGAATGTTACACAATTACAGTAAGATCATTAAACATGGAGGGGTTCATCTTCAACATGGAAACTGAACACAAGGCAATTTATTTATTTTTTTGTGTGTAATGTGGTGTTTCTCCCTACACATTTTGCTGCAACCCTTGCTGTGTGTATTGTATTGCCTGTTTTCCTATTGAACTATTCAAATTATTATTATTATTATTATTACATAGTATTTATATAGCGCCAACAGTTTGCACAGCGCTTTACAATATAAGGAAGACATTACAATCACAATACAATTCAAGACAAGATGGTAAGGAGGGCCCTGTCCCTGAGGGCCTACAATCTAAAAGGGATGACAATATACTAAGATGGTGCAAAACATTAAATGGAATACCATAACCCTTTTTTAGTGTTTAAAAACTATTGCTCCTGAGGTATGCCTTATGACTATTACTAAAAACTGTTTGTGTCCTACCAACCACCAATAGGATTTAATTTTTTTGGATTCTAGCTGCCAATACTGACTTAGCGAGGAAGTTGCTGTGTACTATGAAATTGTTATCACTTAGCAAAATGATTTAACAACAGAAGAGGCCAGAATGATCTGCAGGTTCATTTTACTTTCTCTTGCAAATATGGTGATTGCACCAAAGTCACCTGTTAGATTAAAATTTGGGCCACAAAATAACCGCATGATTTGTCTTTTTGTTTTTTTTTGTTGTTGTTTTTTTAGCAGCTGAAAAAACTGTCAGTGAAAAAGTTTTGCCTCCCACCAGGAAGACTGGCAGTATAAAAATTCAATTCACCCCCCGTGTTTTTCCTACGGCTCTCAGGGAATCTCGTCTGGAAGAAGAGGAAGAGGTAAGCAGACATGAAGGTGTTTTATTGGTATCTAAGCTCGAGAACAGAATGTCATATATTACAGCTTGCCAGTCCTTAGATGTGGTGGTTGCATTGCTTTTCTTTTTTTTAGGCCAAGTACATTTTCCACAAGTAAAGAAAAATACAAGTTGATCCTGCTAGAAATCCACTCACTGGCCTAATATCTCAAACATTGTTATCCGCTTTGCCAGCTATCTTTTGTACACTACAAAATGCCCTCTTCCCTGTGTAACGGACATATAGATTGGGGGAGGTGTTTATCTAAATCAGAAGAGCTACCTAGGTGACAATGCTGCTCCTCACACTAGTGCAGGAAGCAAGATACTGACAGGTTCACCAGGTGAAAATAAAGGGAAAAAAGTCCGAAAAGGGAAAATACAATTAGCCACTAAATCCTGTAAGCTGCAATTGATTACACTTTTGTTTTTTGAGTTTACATACATTTATGTCATCAAACTCCAGGACTTTTGCCAGCCATTAAAACTTTTGGAAAGCGCTGCTGCATCTTCATCCTAATCATCTTCTTTATCATGCTTGGTTTGGGGGGGGGAATAGGCTGAGCAGCCAAGATTCCCTTCATTCCACCATGGAACCAGGGTCTCACTGGGAGATACTGTCTTAAGCTGGCCATACACTAGTTGATTTCCAAAACGAAAGATCTTTCTTTACCACACAATGATGCCATCAGAGACTTGCCGAATATTGAACAACATTTTGTTTATATTTTAACATTCCATTTTGGAATGAATGGAGTTTCCCAAACGAAAACCACATTCACTGTTAGAATTTCGTTCATTCGAGAAAAAAAATTTCCATCCTGCTCCTTCGACTTTTGTCACTATGGTCAAAATCGGCGATCGATTTGACCCGGTCAACTGATAGAAAGTCGAACAAAAGAACTTTCGTACGAAAGTTTTTTAGAAAGTCTACTAGTGTTTGGCCACCTTTTAGTCTTATACCTGCAAAGATGTTGAGAACAAGGTCATGTACTGATTGGTAAATGATTTCCTAATGATTAAAGTGGACCTTTACTCCCTTTCACTAAAAATCACATCAGCATGAAGCTCTACATGCTGATTTCAAATCATCTTACTTTCATTAGATAAACAAACATGTTTTTAATTCACATACAAATAGAGTTCATGTACTTCCTGGTCCATTCTGGCGCAAATCATGTAATGTGCATCCTGGGAAGGTTACATCAGCAGTGCAATGCTGGGAAATCTCATGAGATGCCAGGGGAAGGCTTTTTCCTCCCCTGAGATGATGTAGATGGTCACATGTGCCAGTAATGTAGGAAGTAACAGGAGAGCTACGAATCTGCCCTTAGTAAACATGGCCACTGTCAAAGACTGGGGAAGAAAATAGAAATAAGGTGTACAAAGAATACAAAGCCGGCAATTTATCTAGAAGTATGTGATTGTAGATGTCATTACTAAACATTTCTAAAGGGGTGTCTGTTGTTAGTTTAAAGATATGGGTAAAGGTCCGCTTTCGCTTATACTTCCATACCATGTGTTGGCACACTGCCTGGAAAGATACACCATGTTACACAGTATACTTCCCAATCTTGCATTCACTGTTTGTTAGTCATAAACAGGACCCCAGTGTAATCCTCTGTAACATTAAAGGAGAACTATGGGGTTAGGGCTTTTCCCCATAGTTCTCCTTAGGGTAACGGGAGGACACAAACGAGCGTCCTCCCGTCACCCTAAGCTCAGTATACCGCGAGCTACAGCTACATATTTAGTTACACATGTTCACCAAATTGAAGGAACTCACACCTAACTGCCAATGGGCTTTTGACAGGCTTGTGGTGCAGATAACATTAACCAAACTATCACCGCACAAACTCTCAGAAGAATTCTACAGACCGTGTGGCTACAACTTAGCAGGAAAGAAGAGTTTCTGTGCACACTGAGACTCAAAGATGTCGGCAATTGTTTTGTCATCTTCCAACAATCAGATGGATTATGTTCTATCGCTAATGTAAAAACCAAAATATTAGTTGCAGGGAGATGAAAATGATCCCTTCTAACATTGCATATTATGAGCTACATGCAGATGCAAAATTGTATGTTTCAGTCTATAAAACCACCTAGGGACTGACAAAATGGTTATATAGTGCCTGCTTGTGATTGGTCATGTGTTTGGCTTCTCTGTAATCGGGATGATGCACTGGTGTCAGAAATTTTAACCACGACCCAGCCATCAGAACTGGCTGGTTCATATAACCTACATCCACTTTAGGAGGTAAGAACCTTTCTCACAGCAGGTGAGGTGACACCTGCAGAGTTGATTACCTTTGTACATATTTCTTTTTTTTTTTATTGAAAAATGTGTACATATTTCTATGCAGTGCTCACCTAGGGTTATTAGAGTATAAAAAGGAAAAAGTGGTTTCTATCTACCAACATAACAATTCATACTCCATTATAAGTTTGCTTTTAATCTATTAGTGTCCATGGGTGGAAAATATCTAATCTGCCAGACAGGGTGTGTGTGTGGTTGCCTAGCAGTCCAGTCAGCTGACATACTGCAGGTGGTGGCAACCCGAAGCCACATGCCTGAAGTGTGGGTGTATGTGAGCAGTGGAAGAAGTGATCTTGCAAGAATTCTAGCTTGCAGGATAGCTTGAGGAATCACACAAGTGTGTGGTAATCACATGGCTTCTCCGAAGCCCTCACAGTGCACCAGATTGTTATGGAATATTTGTATCTGCCTGTGTGTCCCGCCAGCTCAATCTGAGAGAGTCAACCTCCAGTGGTGACCAGGGTATTTCAGTCTGTGATAATTCTTTCACTTCATTGCTTTATCTGCCCACAGTAAGACCTCTCCTCACTCCTCCTCCATCAAACAAGGTCCACGCTCTGGTTAGAGAGTTGCCGTAGGTGTGATATTCTTGACATCCTCCATTATCGAAGGCAGTGATTCATTGTTCAGCAGAAGGGTACACTCCATTTTTTTCCCAAGAAAGCACCATAGCTTTAGATTAGGAGGTGCCGGGGAGAGTTATCATTATTACATAGTATTTATATAGCGCCGAGATTGTGCGCTTTCAGGGTGATATGGCCGTAGACCGTATTTATATAGCACCAACAGTTTGCGCAGCGCTTTACAATATAAGGAAGACATTGCAATCACCTTCTTTATGTAGCGACCCTGTCTTCTGCATTTAGGTCGTTACTAAATTTGGTGTGTTCATTGCTGGACTGTAACCAGTCTAGGCATCTATTTACTGCATTCTGCAGGTTTTCCCTGGCCTGGTATGTTGATTGATTCAACCTGTTGCTGAGATGGGGCCCCAGCATACAGTGTGGGAGGGTTAAACACGGGTTATGAATATGTATCTGACTCCACCAATCACTGAGTAGCTGACTCAGAGGTATGGCTTGGGAGATAAATATTTTGAAGCCTGTTTCCAGAACCCTCTGTCCCCTGGGGCTTCTCCCTGGGTGGAGGTCTGTGTGAGAATGTACTGCCAGTGCCTGGCCTTTTCATGTGCTAGGGTATCTGAGGCCTAAGTTGCTGTTTGAATAGATATTTGATGGAAGCTGAGCTGGAGAAAGAATCTTCTTGTTGAAGAGTGTCACAGGGGAGCTGGGTAGAAGCTGCCATCTTCACATTGTAAGAAGGATTCATCACCTTCAGATCCAGGTATCATACAGAGAGAGCAGAAGCCAGTTGGTGCACTACAAGGACTGTGACTGCTCTTACAGGGTCATAGACTTACCTGGCTGCCCTCTGTACTTCAGTATTTTTTGGGATCACTCTTATAGGACCTAATGTTGTTGCTGCTACTATTATGAATACTTTGTCCTCTATTTTTGTGCTTTTGGGTAGCCTGCATCCCTAAACCCTCTTTCCTGAGTTTTTGATATTCAGCAATAAATTGTAAAAAAAAAACCCTAGAGACCCGTGCCTGATCTTTACAGACGTTATTGGTGTTGCTGAATAACTGCATAAGGGCATGTAACTGCAAAACAAGTAGGGGAACCCAAAATTACCAGCAGTTCCTGTGGAGGTCATTGCTACATTTATAATATGGCCTACAGTCTTGTTACTGTGGATGTTCCTCAGAGTTTATATTTGTATTTTTGGGGAATTTATACAATATTCTTCAAGGTCTATAATTCTAAAACTTTCGTGAAATATGATCTTTTTACATTTTCTCTGCAATTAATGCAAGCCCATTTCGTCTTCATACTTAACCGTCGCCTGTCATAAAAGAATATCTGGGATGCTGTTGTTGAGCAGTGATACATTCTTGGCTTCCTCAAGGGTTTGAACTTTCAGAACCACAGATAGTAAAAAAATCTATATAGGAAAGTCAGATTAAAGTCCAAATTCCTCTCTACATACATGTTTCAAGCTTATTGTACCAAAAACTGCCTTGGAGAAGCCAAAGAACCCTCTGGCTAAGGAAGCTGCTTTTCCTCAAGGTGAGCCTGGGTGGTGAATGGGTGAACTAGTATTAACTTGAACTCTTAACTCACAGCAACAGAGCACCAGGGGCCAGGGCACAATGGCTAAAGCTGCAATCAGTGGTAAGGAAAGAGTTAATCTGGACTCAAAAGCACACAGACAGGAGGCTGGTATACAGCCTGAAAAATTAGCAGATTGTCAAAGCCAGATCTTTCCAGAGAAAGGTATTTGATCCAAGATGAACTAGGGCCAACTGGGTTAATCTGAGACCGAGAATGAGAGCGGGCAGGTGAACTGAAGATGAGACTGGAATGAAGGAACTGCAGAGCTGAAGTTGAGACTAGAATGCATCTAAAGGTAGCCTGGAACTGTGGTGCAGAAGTTGAGTCTGAAACACAGCTGGAGCTGGAAAAAGGAGCTGTGGAGATTGAGTTAAGATTGGAATGCAGCTGAGGCTGGAGACAGGAACTGTGACACTGAGACAAGTACAGTGGTGTTGAAGTTAACACTGAGAACATGTGCTGTGGTGTTGAAGGTGATGCTGAGACCGGTGCAGTGGTGCTGACATACTGCCGGTGTGGCTACATGAGGGCCCACGGCTCGGGGGGCCCCACTATGATGCGTTTTCCGGGGTCCTAGGCCCCCCACTGGAGGAATAGTGCCTGCATCTGCCCCTGCTTAGACCCTCGGCATGTCCCCCTGGTGAGGCCCTCGGCATGTCCCCCTGGTGAGGCCCTCGGCATGTCCCCCTGGTGAGGCCCTCGGCATGTCCCCCTGGTGAGGCCCTCGGCATGTGCCCCTGCTGAGGCCCTCGGCATGTGCCCCTGCTGAGGCCCTGGGCATCGGGGGCCTGGCATCCTGTGGGGCGGCCTGCTGCACCCACCCCCTGGACCTGCTGAAGGTGAGCACTCACCCGTGTGCTGGCATGGAAGGTGCTGCCCATTAACACGTGTAATATCCCATGGGGATCAGACTGTGTGTGATGGCTGATCCCGTAGATGTTATTGTGTATGTGTCATCCTAACTGCCCAGTCTTCCTGTTCATTGGTTCTGGTCTTTGTGTGCACTAGTACTGGTCTGTGGTCTGCCGTGCATTGGTGCTGGTCTGTGGTCTGCCGTGCATTGGTGCTGGTTTGAGGTCTGCTGTGCATTGGTGCTTGCTGGTCTGAGGTCTGCCATGCATGTGTGCTGGTCTGAGGTCTGCCGTGCATGTGTGCTGGTCTGCCGTGCATGTGTGCTGGTCTGAGGTCTGCCGTGCATTTGTGCTGGTCTGAGGTCTGCCGTGCACTGGTGCTGGTCTGCCGTGCATTGGTGCTGGTCTGAGGTCTGCCGTCTGCCGTGCATTGGTGCTGGTCTGAGTTCTGCCGTCTGCCGTGCATTGGTGCTGGTCTGAGTTCTGCCGTGTATTCTGCGATTTAGCTCACTTTCCAAATATCCTATATTGGTCTAGATTTTGAAATTCTCTGACCAATTCCCCCGGCAATTCATCTTTTAGTGAATTGGCCCACTGTTTTGAAAATAGTGTGGAGAAATAAGTTCTGTAACGCAAGTATATTTATGCGGGTGGGGCTTGTATATGGGCGGAGCACAAGGGGGCCCCATAATCTTGTATTGCCTGGGGGCCCCATGTGCTGTCAGTCTGTCCCTGGCATAGACTATATTTCAAGAGTGCAAAACTGCCCTGTCTGATGTGCTTGAGCATCAATAAATATTACAGAGGTTGTCCCTTTTTAAACTGCAGCCTCATTGTTATCTTCTTGGAAACATTGGTATGTGATGGTATAGGTTTATTGTTCTAGCGCCTTGCTTTACTTTTTACTAAGTGAGATCCCTTCTGCTGTTATGCTGGAGGAGTGAGAAAAGCACTGCCATCTGAGCCAACTTAGGGAAAATATTAATCAGCTATGTAGAAGTTTGTGTCCAGTCTCTATTGTTTCCTGCAAGCTTAGTCAACCCTAGAGGTGTCTAAAGGTAATCTCCACATTTTCTGGAGGCCAAATCCAGCATTCTTTACTGTCCATAGACTGTACTGGCCTCCAGAAGCTGTTTTATCTGCAGCTCAGTGTTGCAGATAAAACTTTGTTTAGATTACACGTTAGGGACTGCTTCCTAATTCCTAGTTTTGATGCATTAAAAGAATATGTTGTTTTTTTCCCGGGACATCCCTGATTTGTTTGAATCCAAGACATGAGTGTGTCCAAAATGGCAGACTTTATATGAAGGCTTCTTTGTTTGTACAAAACATCCATTGTAGCAAACTTTAATTATAAGTTTGGTGACCAAATAAAACAGGCTGGCAGTTAGGGGACTTTTTCTATTGACCACTGCAGACACATTTGGTGGATATTGTTCATGCAGCACTTTCATAGAATGCCACCAGACAATGCATCAGGTTAATTTTATAAACTCAAGATGGCATTAAAAGTTGTTGCTTTGCAATGGAGAACTTTTCCTGTAAAAAGAAAGAATGTTGTCTTTGAATAATGAAGTCATGGTCCTTTTTCTGATTTGTATTACAGTGGTTGCAGAAGCAGGCAGCAGCCCGCAGAGCCATTAACACTGACAACCTTGAGATTCAAGACTTAAAGGAAGAGGAAAAAAACCCTGAATGGTTGAAGGACAAAGCAAAGTAAGTTTATTATACAGCGTTCCATGGAATTAATGAAAGTGGCTATTCCTTGGAAGTGATGTATAGAAAGTTAGGAGAGCAACTAATTGTGCACTTTGAGAAATATTTGATAAAACAGGGCAAAGACAGATAGCATAATGTGTCTCATGGCAGCAAGTCTCCGATTAAGTAGTCCAGTGTCACTAGATTAGCGGTGATTGCTAAGGGTTTACACATAAGATTGCAATGAATGTGTGTGTGGATAGATAAATAGAGGTAGAGAGATGTGTACAGTGAGGAATATAATGATTTGATCCCCTGCAGATTTTGTAAGTTTGCCCACTTACAAACAAATGAAAGGTCTATAACTTTTATCATAGGTGTATTTTAAATGATAGAGACAGAATATCAACCAAAAATCCAGAAAGAAAACCCGATACAAATGTTATGAATTGAGTTGCAGTTCAGTGAGTAAAATAAGTATTTGATCCCCTAAAGGTCCCCACACACCTTACGATAATCGCGGGAAATCCCGCGATCGTACGATTATCGTAAGGTGTGTGGAAGCCGTGCGACCTCTACTACTGTAAGGTCGCACGACTTTAAACTTACGGACATGTTTGTAAACCCGCCGAGCATCGTACGATGTTCGGCGGGTGTGTAGCATGTTCGTAAAGTAAAAGCCGGACGGGCCGGTGTGCGCAAGTGCACACTGCCCGTTCGGCATTGCGGTCATCGGAAGCCCGCCCCTCAGGGGGCGTGGCTTACGATCATCGCAAGTACGATCTGCCTATGCAAGATAGGCAGATCGTACGTTTTTTAAGTACCTTACAACCATCACAAGACAAAAGTCTTGCGATGGTTGTAAGGTGTGTGCCCAGCCTTACAACCAACAGTACTTCTGGCTCCCACAGACTGGCTATGTGGTACACAGATGAGTCCTGTCAATTTAAGAAGGTGCTCCTAATGACAACTCGTTAAAACATCTACCAAAAAGATAACAAAATCTGGAAGCAATTTAGTGTGTTTTATCGTTGACTAGTATTTTCTTTCATAACAGAGGAAAACAAAAGCAACATGAAATGCTTGTTTGAATGTTAATCGAAGTGACTTGAATATTCAGCTTGTATTAGAGGGTTCTTCATCTTCAGTTGGAAAATATACAGGAAGCTCTAAACATCAAAAGAGAATATCAGCATTAGTCTCATTATCTGGGTCTCACTTACAACTACTGTAGACCACTAATGAATGGGAATGTTTGAGGGGCTTTCTCTCTAAACACTTCTTAAAGCAACACTAAACTCGGGAATTAAATCTTAAAAATGCACTCGGGTACCTTTTAACTATTAACAAAAATGTATCTTATTTGTTCATCACTGGGCTGTAGATCTTCAAATCATCTCTGAATTGGTGCTGACACTGTCCTTCCTTGTGGAGGGTGGCTACTTTGGTTCCTGTATGTGTTGTAAATTAGCCACTGCTCCAAGATCATTCCTGTGATGGACTACAATCTCAATATCAATTAGTAAACTAAACGTGAGATTGTAGTCCATCACAGGAATGATCTTGGAGCGGTGGCTACTTTACAACACAGATAGGGACCATGGGGAACAAAAGTAGCCACCCTCCAGAAGGAATACAGTTTTATTGAAGTTTTAAAGCAAATCTGTGATTTGCCTATGTGGAGATTGTCCGTCCTGAGTAAGCTCGGACTAGAAATCGGCCAACTGCAGTGGCGGGAGAGTGAAGGAAAGGTAAGAATATGCTGCTGGGGATGAGGGGCAATTAAGTGAACCTGTTGCTATGCCCTACATGGGGCATAGCATGTATGAATATAGTGGACTATTTTGCTAACATTACTATTTCCTTTACAGTGCAATGAACTTTAATAACGTATACATAGAGCGATACTACATTACAAACTTTTCTATACTGTACTATGTTACTTTTCACTTGCATATCATATCTGTAGTTACACAGTACTAGACTTACTGTAGCTGCCACCACAACATTACGATATATACACGGAGTGGCCAGATTATTATGACCACCTGATGTTTGTAGGCAAATTAGCTATAATTTCGCGCTGAAGTTGCTAGAGGGCCAGACCATTATAAATAGGGAAGCAGGTTGTTTACCACGACAGTAGAAGTGATTTTTTTCTGAAGATATGGGTAAACAACGCGATTATGGCAAAAGGTGGCCAGGGTGGTCATAATAATCTGGCCACTCAGTGTACAGTGTACTCCCTTTACAGCATTGTCTGCTTCATCTGTAAAATGGCATGAAGATCGAACTGTGTGTATGTATGTATGTGTGTGTGTATATATATATATATATATAAATACTAACTGGCCCCTTTTTATATTCGGGAAAGAAGAACATTTTTACTAGTGTAAAAGTGAAGTATAACTCTGGGATTTTATAAAGCATACCCTTCCAGTGGGGCTACCCCCATAGCACAAGAGTCAAGTGCTCATTTTGGTCTAAGGGCACAAAAAGAAGATACACTCACCTGATCCTCGGTCTCACATTTCTCTTCCCATCTGCTCTGGCTATAGAATGTCCCTCACGTCTAATGCAAGTCAATGGACCTGCATTAGACATGATGATGTCAGCAGTCCTTAGACCTCCCGGTCCCAGGGGAGAAGATCTAGTTACCAGGTGTGATCCAGGATCAGGTGAGTATATCTTCTTTATTTGAGCTCTTCGACCAAAACGAGCGCTAAACCCTTGCAGTGGAGTGGTAACCCCACTGCAAGGATTAGTTTTGTAATTCCTGGAGTTCCTCTTTAAGGCTATAATAATGACCTTGCTGGGTGGGTACATAAAAAGTAACAGGTTGCACTATCTGAACATGAGACTATTCATACCTTTTTGCCTATGCATTTTGCATGAGTTGTCTCCCCCATATTACACGGAAATTCAGCGTTGGATATTCCAGTAGGGTTGTCCATAAAAATAGATTGCTGCTGTAAGGATTATTCGATGTAATGCTTCAGCTGTGAACTTGAAAACCCCACAAGTTGCAGTGCTACATTCGGCCTCTGCTGTGTACATGTTGATAACAACCTCTTCTGCCGCTGGCTGTGACTTGCATTTGGTATATAGTAGCTGAACCAGCAGATACAGCACTGGGATTAGAGCAACTAAAAAAAGTATATATTGTTTCTTCATTTCTGAGAAGTCCTGTATACCTTGAGTATGTCCACAGCTTCTTGTCACAGAAGTGTCCAAACAGGGAGGAAGAGCAGCAAATATTCACTGAACCAAATGACACTGGAAGTGAAGATGGAGGCTGGGACCATCAAAAACCGTTACACAGCTCAGGTCCAACTGCCATCCAAGTGACAGGGCAGCATTAGACACTGGTGACAAACACTCCTGCTACACTGCTATCAAGGGAAGACCAAATTAATGCTAAGAAATGTGTGTACATAAAGATGAGTACTGTAAATATAAACTACACCAAGACAAGTTACTTACCTTAATGTGATATTAAAGGATATTTAAACCCTCACTTTTGTTTGCATATATCTACTGCTAGCAAGCAGTAGATATATACAAAAAGTTAATTAAAAAAAAGCTCAAACAGCAGTTTAGACTTGCCCTGTGTTTCGTGCGCGGTCCCGTGCGAAAATGAGAAATTTCTCGAGCGGCCGCAAAGGATCTTGGGGTGCGCACATGCGCAGTTCTCATTTTCGGCAAGGACGCGACGAGGGACGCAAGGTAAGTCTATGGACGCGTGCACCCGCATGCAGACACCGCTGGATCGGAAGGACAGAGGAGTCAGCGCTGGATCAGAGAGCCGCCGCACCGCTGGAGAGAAGGCAGAAAACATCAGGAAAGAAGAGGAAGATCGGAAAAAGAGACATCATTGAAGGTAAGTGCTAACATTAACATTGGGGGGAGGGAAAACATTTTTTTGCCTTTTTAATGTCACTTTAAAGTCAAAAGGTTTTTAAGCTATTTCAAGTGCTAATGAAAACATTTACAGTGGATGTTGCTTCTTCATGTTTAAAAGTTTTAGTTTCCTGCAGAATCAGCTCATCCTATAAACACGGACCTTGTTATCCTGGTTTAGGTTGGCTCTTCTCCCTTGCAAGGTCCTATGGAGCCACCTTTGTGTGTGTTAGTAAGCTGCATGGGTCTCTGCAAATACAGACCCAGCAAGACAAGTTCCTCCCCTGCTCCCCACTTCTTCTTCCTTCTTTGCCCTTCACCCCTGCTACCTTCTCCAAGCTAGTAGATGAACAGCTGCTGGAAACTGCTCTGTCCCTTGTGATCTTGTACTAGTCAGGAAGTTCAGGGAAGCTTAGCTGAGGAAGTTGGAGCCAGCAGTTTGAAAACATGATGATTGTAAGTGCTTGGGCAAAAATGTAAAGAAACACTTGGGCAAAGTATATATGTTTGATCTGGGGTCATTAGTATGAGCGTTTAATACTACTTTAAATAGTGTGATACCTCATAGCTGAGAACCTGTGAAATATGGCAGCTGCCGTTCCACAGTCTTTGGGAATTTGTCTCATCTTTGTCTGAGTATGAAGTCAGTCACCGGTCCGAAGCAAGCATGCAGCCAGTGAAGGGTCAAGGCACCTGAAGCATGTACTTGTTCCAGGTCAGGTACTTATCAAGTAGTGAAGGAAGGACAATAAGGACATCCTTAGACCTCACACCCACAACATTGACAAGTCAGCATTGACAGGTCCATTATTTTAGTCATGGTAATATTTTAAAAGTCAAAGTCCTAAGTGCAGATAACGCAAGATGTCTGCTGCTATTTTTGTTATGCCAGTGCATGCACTAGAATGAAGTTGGGGACCGTGGCTTAGAGGAGTTTCTCACCCTTCTTATTTTAGTCACAGCACCCTTTAAAGGTATGCAAAATCTCGGGGGGCACCCTGGTCTAAAATTTTAAAACCGTGAATGGAAAAAAAAATGTATATGGACCCCCAAAATCCATAGCAGACTCTTATCTTAGGCGGGGTATGGTATGGCTTTTAAGGAGTGACCCCATTGCAAAAAAAGTCTCAGTACCCCCCCTTCACATCAGAGTCCTACCATCACATTGGAGCGCAGACTGTGGCAGCATGGCAGAGGGCAGGAAACAGAGCAGGCCTAGATGGAGATTAACTTTTGTCTTCTTTTTTTTTTTATATGAATATCACCCTCCCTGGATTAGTTCCATTGGTTTTCATGGTGCTGTTGGCTGACCCTCCTGCACCATGAAAACGGTGCTATGCAAAGCTTTTAAGGCACCCCTACCGAAGCCAGAAGGCACCCTAGTGTGCCATCGCATCCTGGTTGAGAAAGGATGGCCTATAGTATCCTCTGAGCTGCCACACAGAAAATCTGAGCTTTTGCTCTACTGGCCCGGGCAGGTTGTGCAGAAGACGTTATTCAAGGTACTCTTCTACATTATATTAATTGATGCTCTGGAAGAGGGATGGCCAGTGCTGGGTACGGATATTTATAATGAGACTAACAATTTGCCTTTAGTGACATTTAATCAAAATTAGCCACTAATTGATGATGATAATTTTTTCTGAAATGAAAGAAAAACTCTTAATTTCTTTTATCTCTCTATCTAGTAGGGATAATTTTCTTCTTTTGTTTTTTTTTTTATATATACCCGCTCATTCCTATTGCTGGGTTCTAATGTAAATGTACACCTATTTTTCAAGAACTGCTTTAAGTGATACAAAGGAGCAGAACTCTACCTGAACTCCTTTGGTGAAAGGTTACAGCTTAGAAATTGATGTTTGTGTTGAGAAAGCAAGCCCAGAATCCCTGCCCTGGTTCAGGAATTTATCAGAACTGGATTTACAATGAAGGTAGTAGAAATGACTTTTGCTGAGTAATCGCACAAAAAAAAACTACTGTCCACCTCTGCTTTACACCCTCCTTTTAAAGTGACATTTAAACCCTCAGATGTTTTAACATAAACCAATACTGTAATGTGTGCCTTACTGTAATCCATGGTAGTTTCCCTTCTCTTTGCTGCTCTTCCTTTTAAATCCGTATCTCTTTTCATGCTGGGGGAGAACTTCTGTTTTGCAGCAGACTGCCTTGTCTCTGTAAGGGATACATGGTGTCTGTGTGAAGGTCCACAACCTGAGCCAGCACTACGGGAAGAGGCACTCAGCTGCAAAGGGAAGTTCTCCCCCAGCATGAGAAGAGATACAGATTTAAAAGGAAAAGCAGCAAAGAGAAGGCAAACAACCATGGATTACAGTAAGGCGCTCATTACAGTATTGTTTTATGTTAAAAAAATCTGAGGGTTTTATGTCACTTTAACCTTATCTATTAGCTAATAGAGAACAATAGACTGAGCTACTTGTAGTTGTGGGTAATCCAGTCAGAATTTTGAGTTGTATACCCTTTCCCCATCATTAGTGACGCTTTGGGTTGTTTTAGCAACTGAATTTGTGAATTAACTTGTGTGTCATGTTAAGGTAAATCTGTGTTTTTTATAAATGCTGAAATTCAGTCTTGGATAACAATTAAAGTGACACTAAACTCAGGAGCTAAATCTTAAAAATGCATTCAAGTACCTTTTAACTATTACCAAAAATGTATCTTATTTGTGTATCACTCAGCTGTAGATCCTCAAATCATCTCTGAATTGGTGCTGACACTGTACTTCCTTCTGGAGGGTGGCTCGTTATGTTCTCTATGCTCTCTGTGTGTGTTGTAAAGTAGCCACTGCTCCAAGCTCGCTCCCGGGATGGACTACAATCTCGCATTTAGTTTACTAATTGGTATTGAGATTGTATACTTATAGTAACCATTTCTGTGAAGTGCAAAGGCAATTGACATTTTTGAAATGTTTTCTTCTTCTACTGAATTGTACATTTTATGAAATGGCTAATTACAGATCATACAGATGTTCAAATATGTAATATACTATTTTTTTTGTTTCCCTTGTCTGCAGTAAACTGTTTGCTGTTGGTGACTATCTTGCAGCTGTGGAAGCTTTGAACCTGGGAATACGAATAAATGACAAGATCCCAGGACTGTACCTTAATCGATCAGCCTGTCATCTTAAATTAAGGAACCTTCATAAAACCATTGAGGATGCCTCCAAGGTACACCTAGAAGACACGCTGTGTAAATCTCAGTGTATATTTATTGCACACAGCAGGGAGAATGTGTAGACTAGTGTAAGAGCACAGAGCATTGGTGTAGGTAGCATAAACCTTTCATGACCTTTCCAAAAATTGATTTTATTCTGCTGTATTATGGATTGCGTCCCCATCTTTAAAGAGTGTATCTGCCTGCTTGATTATTTACCAATGGCTTCAATACAAATGTTTCCCTACATGTCACCTCTGGCTTTGAAAGAAATAATACCAATGTACGTGTGAAAGAATATTCGATCCCAAACATAGTGCATATACTTTGTTTTCTTTATTTTTGTTTAACCCCTTCCTGACCCATGACGGGATTATACCATCACAATCATTAAGTTCATTAACGACCGGTGACGGGGTAATCCCATCATGCAGTACAATGAGCACTGGTCAGTAAAGGGACCAGCACGCATTGAGTTACTGCTCTTGACGGGTCCTTCTAGGTCCTAGGCAGACCCCCGACAGCAGATTAGGTGTCACAACACTATGATCACAGAGCTGTGAAAGTCACAGAGCCGACAGCAGCTCACTTTGTTGTGTAGCTGCGAGCAGGCTGTGTGTTACAAACTGATACAAAGTATCTGTGAGGAGAATACTAAGTATCAAATCCCCTGTAAATATATACAAAAAATAACCCCCTAGTTTAAAAAACAAATAAAATGTAAAAATATTTTTTTTAGGGCTGGTAATGATTCAAATTTTCGTGTTCGATTAATCAAATTTTTTTTAAATCGATTAATTTCGATTAATTATAACGCACATACAGATCCAACTACATTGGCCTATACAACACAGCCCTATTTTTTTTTAAAGTTTTTAAAAATTGACCTATAAAAGAAAATAAATTGACCTATAACTCCCAAAATAAACTGAAACCACAGACATATGATATACGCTATAAATCAGGACAAATAAAAGAATGTATTATGAATTACTTTCTGTTAGCTGCACTAATTATGTACACATTAATATTATTACCAAAAATTTATTTTTATAAGAATTTTTATATATACATATGCCACATCAAATGAAAGCCCATTTTACCTTTAAAATATTGTATATAATATGTGTAGGTGCAATGAATGAGGAAGATGGACATTATGGTTAAACAAACACAAAGCAAAAATGGCAACATTGCCCCAGTCCCCAGGAACTAAAAAATGTTCTGAAGCTGTGTCACTAAGGGGGTAAGAGTCTTTGACTTTTATAATGGAATGAAAATAGGATTTTTGTACTTGCTGTAAAATCCTTTTCTTGGAGCTCATTAAGGGACACAGCCCTCTACCCCTCTATATTTATGATCATGCTCTTGGTACTGGTTTTTTTTTTTCTACAAATCTGAAGCATGCTGATAGTAGGACGGTTATCCTGGGCTGTTTTTTCTTTTTCCAGTACCCGATCCTCCTGTAGGCAGCAGTATAACCTGAATGTTATAGTTTTCTTGTGTCTGTCAATGAACTCCAAGAAAGGGATTTTACTGTGAGTACAAAAATCCTATTTTCTCCACAATGGTAGATGCAGAGATGAATGGCAGCTTGGTTTAAAGTGCTTTTACTGCTGGGAAGAATATTTAAATACTTTAATGTGCATGGCCTTGGCTCAGGATCATTTTGAGCCTTTGGTGTGACAGGAATGATGATTCTATTCCACCTGTTTAAAAAAAAATAGAAAACTCTATTTGGTTGATACTTTTCTAAGGTTTAATTCAGACGGTCAGTTAATCATGATTTTACCATATTTGAATAATTACAGAAAACATTAACATTATCCTGTGCCCCCAAAACGTATCCCTCGGAAGCACCTGCTGAAGGCGTCTTCTCTGCCTCACAATCTTACTATCAGTCAGGCCAAGTGAGGTAGACATGCTCTTCATACACGGCTCAAAGTATCAATGACCGTGGGAAATGCTGGGAACTTCTTCTACAGTGTTCCTAATTCAGTTTCATTAAACACTTTAGGATAAACATTGGCTGCCCTTATGTTACCCATAGATGGGCAGATGTCCCCTCTTCCAGTATCTGTCCGATGTCTCTGTCTCTTATGTACCTCACATTGCAGACTGAAGTGCCACTATACAGGTGAAACTCGAATAATTAGAATATTGTGCAAAGTTCATTTATTTCACTAATGCAACTTAAAAGGTGAAACTAATATATGAGATAGACTCATTACATGCAAAGCAAGATAATTCAAGCCGTGATTTGTCATAATTGTGATGATTATGGCTTACAGCTCATGAAAACCCCAAGAACCCCAAATCCACAACCTCAAAAAAGTAGATTATTACATGCAATCAATAAAACAAGGATTGCACATAGAACAATATCGGACCTCTGAAAAGTACAGGCATGCATATGTACTCAGTACTTGGTTTGGGCCCCTTTTGCAGCAACTACTGCAATTACTTTTGCACGATATTCTAATTATTCGAGTTTCACCTGTATAAGGACACCTGAAGGAGGGATGGGTCAGGGGGGCATGGAGAATGAGTACCTCATTGCTGCAATTCCTCATTATCACCCCTAGAGTAGCCCTAAATGGCCCAATCCTTGTGAATCAGTTACATATGGCCACCCTTAGACCTTTCAGGTTGGTTAGAAGATCCTGCCAGTACACAGTTGTTCTGTAGATGACATAAGAGGGTAAAATTCTATGAATATTAATTAACAGCAATCAGCATTTGCATCTTATTACATTTGTGCAATGTGAGCTTTGTTATCAACCAATTGCGTCATTTTCTAGAAAACCTTTTATTTCCACCGTATTTTGTCATATGCCTTTTGTAATGAACTTCTTTATTCATGTGACTTATTCTAGGCTCTGGAGCTGCTGACGCCACCCGTTCCAGACAATGCTGCTGCCAGACTGAAGGCTCATGTGAGGCGTGGAACGGCCTTTTGTGAGCTAGAACTCTATGTACAAGGTACAGACTCCTCACTGTATCTTAAATGCAAAAATAATTTAAAGTTATCCAATAGTATTGACCACAGCTGACATAAACCTGCAGGTTACTTATACAAGTCAAAGAAACCGGTTTATTTAAATTCCAACTCCCACCCCGAACACTGTGCATACTTACTTACCTTTCCATTGCTCCCCTACGGCTCTGTTTGCCTGCAGGAATGAGGAAACTCTGGACTGAGCCCCCGTACACACGATTTGTCATTTATCGGTCGTCATATTAAATGCATGACAATGAAAATCACCTTATACTCTATGGTGCCTGGTGGGGGAACAAAGTGACGTAGACTACATGCAGGGGTGAGCTGGTTACATTGCCCTGCATTGGCAAAACTCATGTTCATTTTTAGATGAGGACTACAGTTGAGACAAAAATCATTGATTGCACTTACATATCAGATTGTATTCTCTTGGTATTCTTATGTTTTACATGTGAGAAGTACTTTTGGCACCTGTACTAGTTTTCAGTTTTTGCTTTTAGTTGCTCCAGTACTTGATCTGACCTCCTACAATGCTTTGCAGTATCTAGATCTGTCTGCAGCATTCAGGAAGGCCTCTGGGTTATAAAAGACCAAAATGTAATGCAGTCAATCGTCTTGTCTGACAAAAAGTGTTCATAAAAACATGTTGTATAACATGGATTCTTCTTAAAAGAGAACTATGAGGTAAGGGTTTTTCCCCATAGTATTCTTTAGGGTCACGGGAGGACATATACTAACGCAGGGCTCAAAATTTCAGGCCCTGAGCTACTAGCCAGGCCTTAAGAGTTACTCGCCACCAGTTGCCCCACCTAACCCCTACCCTGCCCATAACTCCGCCAGCTTAGCGGTGTGACGCAAAGTACAGAGGTCAGCAGTACAGAGGTCAGTAATTTAAGGCACAGTACAGAGGTCAGTAATGAAACACACAGTACAGAGGTCAGTAATGAAACACACAGTACAGAGGTCAGTAATTGAACGCACAGAGTTCAGCAGTGTAAGGCAGAAAGAACAGGACTTACAGTGCATATAGCTGATCTGCCCTCTTCCTCTCCTGGTGGTGGTACTGGGGCTGGTGCTGGTGCTGGGGGGGGTATAGAGATGTATTCTTCAGGTCTGGCGCTGCAAAAAGTTTCAGCCGGCCAATACCAGCCACCATAACACCATTGGAGGGGTGACACCAAAATGACTTAGTCATTTTGGTGTCACCCCTCTCTGAAAAGTCGGGCGCTCGGTCATGGACCGAACTTCCGACAGTATCAGGAGAGAGGAGGGGACCCGGCGGCATACCTTATCCCGCCGGGTGACTGTCCCCTCCTCTCTCTGCCAGCGTCCATCACCAAGATGGCCGCCGGCAGGTATCAGAATACTGCCATGCGTGCGCGATGACGTCTCGGCTGGGTGACGAGCCGGGTGACTGTCCCCTCCTCTCTCTGCCGACGTCCATCACCAAGATGGCCGCCGGCAGTTATCAGCATACTGCCGTGCGTGCGCGTTAGTATTCATCGCGCGCATACATGGTGATGTTACGCGCATGCGCAGTGACGTCTCGGCTGGGTGACGCTCCGTTACCGCTCCGGGTGTCACCCAGCCTCGGGACGCCCCTGGCATACTGTACATTCATTACTAAACTATTTCTGGTATAGCTTTGCATTATGCAACGCAAATCTAGGTAATAAATATAGTCACCTGTCTAATGAAAGATTACCGTGTCAGATTGGGCTTATCCAGTACGCCAACTCATACTGGGTTTATGTGATGAGTGCTTATGACATTCACTAATGGCTTTAGGGTTATTAAAGGTCAAGTTCAGACATTTTTTCTTTTTTTGGGTTGAGCAGTAAAGGGTAAGAATGTCTGTCAGTATTTTGCTATCCTGGTCTGTTTGATTTTCACTGTCTTTCTGTCTATGGGGCCGCAGAGGAAGTAAGGGTAATCTGCACGCTGCTCGTTTTGGGTGTTGGGTGGTGGTGGAACACATTTCCGGGGTAGGCTGTATGTGTTTGGCAGTCTTCCTCCAGCCTATGGCAGATGAGGTGGGCGGGGGAAGCTGCAGGTGGCCGGAGTGAAGGGAAGACCGTCAAACTGATTCTTTTCCTCGGCCGCTGCAGGGCCCGAGGAAAAGAAAGATCAGTGCAGCTGATCAGTGCAGCTTTACTCTGGCCACAGAAGACAACTGAAGCGCTCGATCGCCGCTGCAGAAGCGGCGGTAGTTTCACCTCCGCTGGTCCTGTTGGCGGCTCCCCCTCCCTAGATGAATTTCCACTCGCCCTCACGCAATTTTCACTCGCCAATTGCGAGAAGGCGAGTGGAAATTTTGAGCCCTGTACTAATGTACTCCCGTGGCCCAAAGCACACTATATAGTGGGCTATAGCTCGCTGTACAGTGAGAGCGCATCAGCCAGGACGGATCCCGACAATACTGTTGAGATCCACCTAGCTGGCTGATTGACAGCAGGCTCTGCCTATCTAGAGTCAGAGGCAGCTGTGCCCGCCCTCTCCCCATCCGTTCCTCCAGTCAGCGCTCCGGGATCGGAGAGGGGGAATTCTGTTTGTTTGACAGTCACCGCTCTGTGCAGGGAGATGATCGGGAAGTGAGCGAGCGACGGTATGTGTTCACTCAATTCCCGATCAATAGAGCCGACCTGCGACAGTTTCATTGTCACACGTCGGCTCTAACTATGGGAATGAGTGAAAATCTCATAGTTCTCCTTTAGAGGATAAATGTAGTTTTAGTGTATCCAAGAAGTCAAAACAGCTTTGCACATACAATTTTTTTACTTCTGCCTCTTCTTTTCCTGTGCTTTAAGAGCTGCTATCACAGGTCCAGTACAGTGAAAACATTGCTTACATTCAGCCTGTCTGCAGCTGCACTGTGACTGCAGACAAGGAGTGAAAACAAGGAAGGTATCTGCTTCACATAGCACTTTGGTTAAATGTCTTCACTGCCAAATGACCATAAATGGTTTCTATACAGCTATCCACATGCACAGCAGGTAGCCACTGCTTAAAGTGCATCCGTGCCCAGACTATGAAGAATATTTTACATACATGTTGTAAACTTTGAATATTAATTCTCTCACAATGCTTATAGATACAGAGATGCCTGAGGGATTGTTTTAAAGTGCCAAAATCATGCAATTTATTATGTGTGCATGATCTGTAAACAGGTTTTATTTAAGTTTAGTTTAATTGTGAAAAATATTGAAGATCTAGAGGAATTCCTGATGTCTGTCTTGTTTCCAGTCTCGGTATGAGACATGCTTCCTGAACTTTACTTAAGCTTATGGAGGAGCTGCCTGCTCATAGCAGCATGTGATCTCCAGTGAATACATCAGTGCAACGCAGAATAGAAATCTCACAATTTGGCTCCTGGCACTGGACAAGACATTGAATCGAGGTGGTACGTGAAGCAGATGCCTGTTGCCTGGTGCGTGAAGCAGATGCCTGTCTGATAGGAATAAAATTAAGTGGAAAGAAAAGTGAAAAAGTAAAAAATAATAAAAGAAAAGAAAAAATTACAAAAAATAAAATAGTTGTAAAAAATAAATGAATATATACACTGAGTGGCCATATTATTATGACCACCTGATGTTTGTAGGCAAATTAGCTATAATTTCGCGCTGAAGTTGCTAGAGGGCCAGACCATTATAAATAGGGAAGCAGGTTGTTTACCACGACAGTAGAAGGGATTTTTTTCTGAAGATATGGGTAAACAACGCGATTTAACAGCCTTTGAACGTGTGATGATAGTTGGTGCTCGGAGCCATGGAGCGAGTATCAGCAAAACAGCAGAATTCGTTAAATGTTCAAGAGCAGCTGTTGTTTAAGTGTTTAAAGACTGGACTGTCGGTCGAAAATCTGCGTCTGAACGTGCGAATTGTGGCCGTCAGCGACTAGTCAACATTGGGGCAGAACGGAGAGTGGCAAGACTGGTACAAGACAACAGAAGGGCAACAGTGCATGAAATTACTGCAGATCTTAAGCAGGGATCCTCTCAAATGATCTCTGAACGCATTGTTCGCCGTACACTGCATCCTATGGGATATAGAAGCCGAAGACCTGTTCGAACACCTTTGCTGTCTGCAGTTAACAAGATAAAACGTCTCCAATTCGCACAGGAACACAAGGATTGGACAGTCGAGCATTGGAAAAAAGTCATGTGGTCCGATGAATCACGTTTCCAGTTGCATCATGCAGATGGCAGAGTGAGATTTTGTCGGGAACAGCATGAAAACATGCACCCCACATGCATGAGTACAACCCTTCAAGCTGGTGGGGGCAGTGTTATGGTTTGGGGCATGTTTTCTTGGCATGATTTGGGCCCTTTAATTCGTGTGGAACAACGTCTGAATAGCACAACATACCAAAGTATCGTTGCTGATCAAGTTCATCCTATCATGTTGATGGCGTATCCCAATGGAGATGGCTTCTTCCAACAAGACAATGAAAAATATATATATATATAACCAACCCCGCCACCCCCTCCATGTGCACACATAGGACATTGTGTGTGTGCCTTGAGTGCGCCCGCCATTCCACTATGTGGCAAATTGTGGTAGCCAGGCAACAACGCACTTTAAAAAAAAATGTGCATTAAAGGGTAAGTTCACTTTCCCAGGTAATCTGGGAAAATGGAATTACTCAAATCTGCCCATACCTCCCCCCACTATTTATATAGTCCTTTCCTTCCGCCAGTACGGGTGTATTATCTGTACCCCCGTACTGCTGTCCAACACAGCCCTGCGCTATGCATTTTGAATAACCAATATGAAGCGCTATTTGGCATGGTTAAATGCGGTTTCGATTACGTTTTTTTGTATCGGGAGAAGTAGATTGTCATGAGGGACAAGTAGATTGGGCCCCTGCTTTTGCCCTTAGGCAAGTAGTATTTTTTTCATTTCACGCCCCTGAAGATAGATGGATGGGATTGTCTCCTCTGTCTTCCTACATGGTGGTAGTTCGCTCTTAGTCAAATTAATGGAGTTTTCTTTTCTCTTTGGATCAACGCAGACAAAGTTTTTCTTCTTTCATAAGGTTACATGTCCTTTTAATGGAAACAGTATCAAGAGTAATCTAAAGTCATTGTAGAGATTCTTCACATTTGTCTGAAAAAACATTGCCGTTATAAAATTAGATGCTTTGATTCACTAGCACAAAAGTAACATTGATTGGCAAACCATTTTTCTCTTCATACTAAATATTACCTTTTTGATGAAAATGTTTTCATCATTGAGTTGTCGGTGGTTTGACATCCTTGTGGATCAGGACTATGACAAAGGCTTTAGAGCCAACTAAAAAGATCTATATTGTTCACCTACACGGCTGCATTCTTCCAGAAAGGTCACTTTTATTTATTTTGAATGTTTGAAATTGCTTGTCATTGAAAGTTTAGACACAAGAAATAGCTTAAGCTCAAGAGCATTTGACATTGTGGAGAATAAAAGAAGATGGTTCAAGGCTTTCCTAACTAAAGCAATTTTCTCTGCGTTGTTTGAGACGGGTTTACAATGGAGCCGTTATTACTAAACAACCCCATAGGTACAGTGGAGAGAATTTCAAGAAGTCACTGGAACAATGACAGCTCAGCAGTCTGAAAAGCTTTCATAAGAGCTCGGTGACAAATAAACGAATCAGACATGTGTTAATTACTAAAGGACAATAAGAAATAATTATAAATCGATTTAGGTTTTTTTCTGTTAGTCCTGATACATTATTGAATGACACCATTTGATGGGAAAACATTTTATTAGAAATATATGTTTTTGTTCAACCATCAGCTGTGCGTCGTGATAATCTGTTAAAGACGCAGCATACAGTACTTGGGTTTGCTGCTGTAAAGTTAACTTTCTTGGTAAAAGATAAATTCATTAAAAATCATTACCCAGAGAACCTGAGTTAGGACTTGTTCACACCATATACAGTGCATTCCAGTGCGGTTAGCTTCTGGAACGCACTGTACCTGCATTCTGGTGCGGGAGGGAGTGTGATGGTACATTGAAGTCAATGGCACCACAGCCACGCCCCCACAATCTGTGTCTATACATGGAGGAATTTAGCTGTTTGAACTTGAACTCTGATAGCTAACTGAATCTGCCTAGTCTCTTCAGGGTACATATTGGGCACATCTCTTGCTGCTGTGTTAGTGTGGATTGATGTATACAATATAAGAAGTTGAATTAACTGTCCTTTTGTATCTAACAGGTCTACAAGACTATGAAGCTGCCCTTAAGATTGACCCTGCCAACCCTACACTGAAATGTGACGCTCAGAAGATTCGACACATTATCCAAGGCTCCAGTTCAGATCAAGAATGATGAAACATTTGTATCGCTTAAGCTTTTTTTTTTTTTGTAATTGTTGGTTGCATTATAATTGTGTTTTTATGTCTAATTTGTAATAAAACCTCCAGTTGTTTTGTACATTTTGTTCTCGCTGTTAACTCGTACAAAAAAAATATAAACAGCTGAAAATCTTTCAATTTCACTTTATGATATTTTTTACAAATTGTAGGCTTATATTACCCATAGGCATCAGATGACTGTCTTCCAATCCGTCTCTTTTTGCCCAGGGTCTATGGGACAGAACACAACAGAATGGGTTTTGAGGGACAAAGCAATTAGGTGTGATAAAAAAAAACATTGCTTAATAGCTATTGTATGCTTAAAATGACATTAAAGTCACAAATATCCCCACCCCCCATCCTGCTTTAAGCACTTACCTTCAATTATGCCTCTTGATCTGATCATCTTCTTTCCACTTGTATTCAGGAGTCTCTCCAGCGCTGGCGACGGTCTTTGATCCACCGCAGACTCCTGTCTCTTCCTGCCCCAAGATGTCTGTCCGACATGCACACTCCCGGCTGCGGGCATTCACTTGTTCACTTTCCTGCCCGCCTAAGATCTGTACTGCGCATGCCCCTGCCCCATGATCCTGCTCGGCCGCTTGAGAATCTTCGGACGGGAGCGAGCGGTGGAGACAGAGGTAAGTAATAACGTTTATGGTAACGTTTTCATTTTTTTAAAAGGTTTTTTCATACATCTACTGCTTGCTAGGATTAAATATATGCAAAAAAACTCGAAGATTTAATTGTACTTTAACAGACACAGACTGTTTGTGTGTATTCCCCCTCCACTCTACTGTATTGCCCTAACCTTGAACACTTTTCTATGACCAATGTATTTCTTTTGAAAGAAGAAATTGTCCTCCCAGACATCATGAACTAGCTGGATTGCACTTCTATGTCTGACTGTTCCGCAATGTCTATGACCAGCTTAATTTACAACTAAAAGTTGCCAACAGCCCATCATACGTGTGGCAAATGATGATTATAGGCTAAGCAGCACAGCAGAAAGAAAGAACTGCATGTAGCTTAAGGAGACTTTGCCACCTTTTAAAAAAAAAAGTGAAATAAAACGTTACTTGTAATAAAAGATTGTTCGCATCTGGCACACTTTCAGGTGTGTTGGATGCTTGGTCCTCTGCTGCGAGCTGTACTTCCATCCCCTGGCTCCTACAGGATTGATGTGTTTGCTGGTGGATTGAACCACAGAGTTCTGCAGAAGATACAGGAATTTGACAATCCAAGAAGTGTTGGAATTAAATTAGACACTGCCATAAGAGGAGAGGACTACGACATGTAAGGAGGGAGAGGGCTATACCCGGATATTGATTCTTCTGATGTAGGCACATTGCAATAGAAGAAAAAAGTACCCTATTTTTCTGTGTTTACCTGCAATTTTTAAAGGGGAAACTCTACTTTTCTTGAGAAAAAAAACAATCTCCTTTTGGGTGATCAATGTACATTGCAAGAACTTCAACAAACTTTGTTGCAGATTCCTACCTGTTTCTGTTCTGAAGAAAAAGCTGTTTCCAATTCCTGATTCCTGAATGGGAGGGTCTGGGTTCATTATAATCAGCTGGTGGACATTCTTTGTTGTAATGAGGAAAGTTTCAGAGTCAGCTGTGCCCGCCCCCTCCCCTGTCCATTCCTCCAGTCAGCACTGGGGGAATGGACAGGGGAGGGGGGAATCCCTGCAGGAAACGATGACTGACAGTCACTGCTCTCTGCAGGGAGAGGGTCAAGAAGTCAGCGATTTAGTGGTATGTGTTCGATGACTTCCTGTTCAATAGAGCCAACCTGTGACAGCTACAGTGTCACAGGTCGGCTTCAATTATGGGGACATGTTTTTCACTCACCCCATAATTCACCTTTAATGAAGTGTCACTCGTCCATAAAGATGAACTTTAAATACCTTTTAGGTTTTTATAGAGAAGCAAACTTGTTTAAGGTTTCCATTAGGCATGGTAGAGAAATATGGGCTGAAGTTATTTTCTAAATGGATGACTTTAGCAAACATGGTGATTTTATTTTCTCTCCCCGCTCTTTCCATCCCTTTGATATCATTGTGTTAACAACAACTTTTCTACGTTCCCCTGCCAATGGAGAAGGAAGCTGATTGGAAGGTATTTTACTTTGGGTCTGCGTATATAACTGAAATCCATTTGAGATTTCCCCCAAATCCCCACTTTCAAAATGTACAGAACATGTATGACCTTCTGCTTTTATTGTGAATGTAACTTCCATTCTTTTAGTCAGTTCTGAAAATAAAAGTATAGTACAGTATTCCATAAAAAGCAGATTATACTTTTAGGAGCAACTCCAAATTTAAATTAAATTAGTGAATTGCTAATTCAATCCAGGAAACACTGCAGCTGTAAAGTCATAAAATACAGATCCAATACTATCCATCCAGATTACTTGGCTTTGTGCTTCAGAATTATCATCTTCTTACATGACTTACAATCCCACCTAATGCTTCAGTATGTGTGAGTAAGGCTTAGGGCTTGTTCACAACAAATGTAGACCAGATCTGCATCAGTTTCTGCACATGCAGTGCAGTGTGTTTTGCCGCGATCTGTGCCGTTTCTAAAAGCCTAAAATGGGATTTCAGTGTGTGTTCTGGGGCGTTTACATGCAATTTTGATGTATTCCGGAGCAGAAACAAAATAGGGCATGGTGTGAACTAGAGCCCAAAATACCATTGGAATACATTGGGCGCAGTTTTGATCCATTCTGTATCTGCTCTGCTCGGTGTGAACTAGCCCTGAAAAAAGGGCACTGCTTGAACCATTAAACACTGAGGCCTTAGGGTTGCCCCCCATCTGGGATTCACCCGGACAGTCCGATATTTAAATAGTCTATCATCCTGTGTATGGGTTCCAGGCTACCTTAGACCCGGACACAGAATGTCATCCCGACCGCTGGCAACCTGCGACGGACTTTCAGCACAGAGGCGGACAGGCAATGGACAAGAAAGCTCAGGGGCCCTGCTATTCACGGAACAGCTATAACGGGTCTTGTCACACAGGGACAGAGCTGAGTCTCTGCCACTGTCCGCGGATCGCTCAAAGAGAGCTGCAGCTGCTTCCCCCTCCTCTATACCCACCTGCTGATTGGCCGGCGATGCACGGGGCCGAGCACTGACTGGACTCTTCTTTGGCCAGGTACCTTATCAGTGGGGCTGTGCTGGGGTGCCAGGCAGGTGAGACCTCTGACACATCAATGCTGCTGGCTGTGTGCGCTGATCAATTTACACTGTGACAAGTTATGTCATCAATACATACATACCTACCTAACAGCACTCCTATGTCATTTATAAAACAGCAGTATGACAATTGCTACTTTTAGTATTTTATTGTAATATAAGTATACAAAAAAAAAGAGACATCATCACTACCACTTAAATGAGAAATGTTTTAAATATTGCTGCTCCCTCCCTCCACCCCCACTCTGTGGCACTGCCAGGGCTGGTGCTAGCATAGGCAGCCACCTGAGGGCACCGGGGAGAAGATTGTCGGAGGTCACTGGTCAGAGAGAGACAGTGGAGCACAGCGGTGTCACCAGCAGAGAGCGGCTGAGGAGTGAGCAAAGGGACCATCTGGACTCTCAGCCATGAACACGAACTCCAGGGACCTCGAGCAACGGCGAGCTGTCACGTATATAGAGCTCTCCTGCACCCTGTCACCCCCCCATCCCACTCACCACTCCTTTGGCGTAATTGACATGAGCAGTACCCCAGATTGCACTTTTCACAACTATCTGTAGTTGGAATGGTCTGCAGAACTTAGTACATCGCTCTGTATGGGAGATTGCTCTTATATTGAGAGTTGATGAGCTCTACAAGTGGGATTACGGAATGGGATAAAGAGGTAAGTAACACACTGCATAGAATTCTCATACAAGGCAGTCAACATAGGTGGCATGAGGCTCACTGTGCCTCTGGCTCATCTGCAGATTAAATTGCTAGCAATATATGGTAATAGACCAACTGCGTGGATCCATTGCACTGGTTAGCTGGCAAATTGGCTTCTGCTGTGTTATTGGCATCAGCTGTTAGGTTGAAGTCAGATGGGCGATTTATTTGCAGTGATCCCTTTGGATTCCAGGGTGCCTGGAGTCTAAAGATTGGTACAAGGAGGCCCGGAGAGGGCGAGGCCTGGTACAGGGGATCCTGAAGTGTCTGGAGAGGGTAAAGACTCATACAGGGAGTCCCTGTAGCTGGTGGTATTCTGCATTACATATTGCTGAGATTTGTAGTCCTCATTAGCTGGTGGTATTCTGCATTGCTGTATAATGTATTATTGCTGGGATTTGTAGTCCTCTATAGCTGGTGGTATTCTGCATTGCTGTATAATGTATTATTGCTGAGATTTGTAGTCTTCTATAGCTGGTGGTATTCTGCATTGCGCTGTATAATTTACTATTGCTGGGATTTGTAGTCCTCTATAGCTGGTGGTATTCTGCATTGCGCTGTATAATGTATTGCTTGGATTTGTACTCTATAGCTGATGGTATTCTGCATTGCTGTATAATGTATTATTGCTGGGATTTGTAGTCCTCTATAGCTGGCGGTATTCTGCATTGCGCTGTATAATGTATTGCTGGGATTTGTACTCCTCTATAGCTGGTGGTATTCTGCATTGCTGTATAATGTATTGCTGAGATTTGTAGTCCTCATTAGCTGGTGGTATTCTGCATTGCTGTATAATGTATTGCTGCGGCATTCAGAGAGACCTAGCTGAGCCACAGACGATAGGCTTGGATGGAGCGATTTCAAGTGCCTTTAGGCCCGCTTCTGTGGCTTCTTATTTTGGGTGGTGGTGCCCCTCTTGATCCATCATGGAAGTGAGGCTTGAAATCCCTTAATGAAAGTCTCTCCCCCATGATTAGAAGGGGCACCACCGGGAAAATTAGAAGCGACCTTCTTCAACATTGCTAAAGACATTCAATCAGATTGACCCCCTCTCCTGGCTATCTCTCCTCGATCTCTCT